AAGACCAAGATGGTCAAGTAGGGTTCTAGGTCATTAGTGCTTAGTGACATCACTCAGCGGCCCCATATTCTCTTTGATTGACTCAAAGGCTACCGGTACTCACAAATATGTCGCACTAATATAGCTATTGCTTCAACCGTGTCAGTATACCCCGCACAGTTTCCACAACGTATTGCTATCTATGAATGTTTCCCAAATCCGGGTGGAGGATTTCAAGCCCAAACAAGAGAACCAAAAATGTAAAGCAAACAAAGCAAATAATTAATCATGCAAAAGGTTATCTAAGCCCTAAGGTTACTCCACTTTTAAAGGAATCCCCAGCAGAGTCGCCAGTTCTGTGATAGAGTGGGAGAACTGACTTGAGGTTTTGTGTTTGTTTTCGCAAATGTTTCGGTTGAGCAAGAGTCGCCAGCGACTTTTTATTTTATCCTAAGGAAAGGTCAAAAAGCACAGGAAAGACCTTCGAGATGTTTTCTTGGGTTCGGGGAGTAGATTATAGAAAGGGAAGGTATTAGCACCCTTTTTATCCATGGTTATCCATGGGCTCTTAGTTACTTGCTTAGATCACTTGCCTTTGCTTTTCAATTGTTTGAAATGGTGCTTTGTGTGTGTGGTTTTGAAAATGTTTTGAAAAAGATGCCTTGTCTAGGCAACCTTTGTAACAATTCTTGTTTGAATGTTTTACAAAGGTGTTTGTCTTTTTGAAAAGATGTTTCAATGTTTTTGAAAGTTTGTTTTGATGTTGTGTTGTGATGTGTGTTTTGAAAAATGGCAAGGATGTTTTGCAAGTTTGATCAAGTAACTAAGAGCTATCTACCCTAATTTACTCAAAGATCTTTCTTATGTTTTTAACCCTTTTAACAGTGTTGTTTCACCATTGTATTTGGTGAACAACCTTGTGTTAGGATGTTAACGGGACGGGTGCGGGTCATCGTATAGACCATGAAAGCAATAGTGTCAAGTATCTTTGGCAATTTTCTTAAGGGACTTGATCATTTTTTAGGCAACAAAGATAGCGTTATCGAGGGACTATGATCTTTTTGTTTGTTTTGGTTTTGCCAAAGTACTCAACATGCAACCATGGCCCATTTTTGAAGGCAACAAGTGGATGAAACCCTAGGGGTGCAAGTGTGCATTGTGTTTGTTTTTCATGCATGTTTATCTTGGATTAGGTCAAGCTACTTGTTGATTTTATTTGCATACAAACCCTAGGTCTAAGCATGGCATAATTGAAAGCTTTTAAATGTGCGAGAATTTAAAGTTCTAGGCTATTACAACATGATTATGGGGATGGGGATACAAATTTGAATTGGGGATATTTGACAAGGAAATAAAATCTAAGTTATTACAACCATATCGAATGTATAGGATACAAATATTTAATTGTGCAATACTTGAAATAAATACAATAAATAAACAAAATGTATTATGCACAAAATGATTTTTTTATTATGTATGTGAAATGGGTATTTTTAATGTGAAATATAAACAAAATAAAAAAAAGTCAAATTTAATTACTTTGGTTATTTAGGGAAAAACCCTAATTTTTAAATAAATAGTAATATTTATTAATTATATACAATATAAATTAATTTATGCAAAAAATAAAAGTATATTGTTAAGAAAAAGTATTTTTAGTGTCAAAAAATAAAAATGTGTTATTTCTATATTTTTTTCCTAATTATCTAATAAAATAAGATATACAAGTATATATATTAAACCTATTAAATATAAAAAGATAAAAATAAATATTTATAAAAAAATGTATATTTAAGAAAATATTTTCAAGATGTAAGTAAAAATAATAACTGAAAAATAAATATATTTTTTATATTATTTTTTAGGGTTTTAATAAAAAGGATTTATATTATTTACATACACATGCTAACAAAATGAAATAAATATCAAATAAATATGAAAAATTATGGAAAATTATTTTTGGTATTTTTTTATGTTTGAACAAAAAATATAAAGTCAGAATAAAAAGAAAAAACATAAAAATAACAAATATTTAATCAAATGGGCCAGGGGGGTGCAAACTGGAAAAAAAGGGTGCAAAAAGCAAGGATGACTCAGGCCCAGCCCAAGCCATCATCTTCAACCTCCAGCTTCTGTTTGAACAAAAACGCGCGCGCCTCTTGTACAAATACCATCTCCTGATTCTTTGATCTTTTGACAAAACTTAAAACATGAAACTTATAGAGCTTGAAGCCACGATTTCAACCATATAAAACACTTGACCTAACTCTAAGAAACCAGGGAGAATTTTATCACCCCCATTTTCTGACCTAGTTTTTCCAGCAAGTTCAACTATCAAATACTCCTAGCTCAGTTAATATAAATGGAATCTAAGCATATGTACAGTTCAAGCATGTTAAAGACTACATTTTTGCTTCACAAACCTAAGCTTAAATATGCCTAAATAAAGAGTTAGAAACTTGACAAATACCTTGTTCAACTGGACACGAGTATGGCAATGCAGCAACCTTCAATGGTGTTTGAGCTTCTGTTGAGATTGCCTGAGGTCCAAGGAAGCTTCTCCAATACTTGGCTTGCTTTGAAACACCTTGTATCGTGATGTAGAAATTCACCTGCAAAGCTTGAAAATGAAAATGGCAAATGGGGTTAGAGGTGTTACAGCTGGTGTTTAAGGTTTGGAATAGTTCAGGTGGATGATATGGAAGGTGTTTGAACTTGTTTAGGCCAAAACGCACGAGCAAACTAAGTTATGGAACTCAATCTGCAGGGAGTGCCCTGTTTTGCAGCAAAACAGTGATTTGGTGTATTATGAGGTATGAGGGATGGAAGGGTCGTGCCTTAGGTCTGTTTTGATGTATGGAACTTGAGCACAAAGTTTGTTTTGGCTTGTGTTAACAGAAATCTCAAGTTTTTTGTGTTTTGCAATGTTTCTTCTACTTGAAGCAAGAAAGTGTAAGTTGTCAATGCAGACCTGTACCCTCTATATTGTGTGCAACATATCTTCCCCTTGATACTTGCAATTGTGGATTTGATTTGGCTTCAGAGATATGGCCCCTATGCTCAAAGATCATGTTTTGACATAAAGTGTAACTTTACCAAAATGGCATTATACCTTTTTCTAATTAAGGGTTAGTTTTGTGTGCAATGTCAAAATGGCCAAGATAATGCATTAGCTCAGTGGATTTGCATTCAATTAAGGAGTGTAAAAGGGTTTAGAGGCCTGCAAGCAAGTGCAAAGCATGCTGGTTTGAAAATGAAACTTGTATGAACATGTATTAGCCATGAACAAAAGTGAGTTTTTGCCAACTTTGTGAATTCGATTCTCTCTAACCACAAGGGTGTTTGAGGAGCTCTTGGACAATTTGGAAATCTTGGAACATTTACTACAATCCATATTTGTAATGCAAATTGAAACTCCAAGTGGAACTATGTGAAAAATGGCCAAGAAGATGGGTCAAAATCCTGCCTAGATTAGGGCAAATTTCTTCTAAGTTAAAAGCTTTTGGTACCCTTGTTCCAAAAATCATAACTTAAGATGCAAGCTTCCTTTTAGAAAACTTTGTGAATCAAAGTTGTAGACTTTTCAATGTACTACAACTTTCATGTTACAAGTTTTGTTTGAATCCATTTGCATCTTGGTGAAAAAATGGGACAAAGTTAGGAAAAAATAAGAAAATTTCATAACTTAGAAAATTTCTAAGTTATGAAAATTTTCATTTTAAACCCTAATTTGCATTTTTGGGTTTCTTGATGGGAAAGTTTCATAATTTGACATGTCTTGATGAAAAATGAATCTTGGCACTTGATTTTGACCAAAAAGTCAAAGTTTGACTTTTCAGTATACAGTCAAATTTTGATCAGTTGACTGAAAAATTCATCTGTCAATCCTATGCATTTGAGATCTTTTGAACTTGTTGAATGGGTCAAGACAATGTCATTGAGTCCTTGAGTCCATGTGTGATCTTGGTTTGCCATTGGTTAGGTCAAACAGTCAAAAATTGCCTTTGTGTAGTCAAAACCCTAAAAATGACCATTTTGCCCTTTTGGTGATCTGATCAAATTTCTTGTGGAATTGTGGTCCAAACTTGATCAAATGGTTCATATGAGTTAATAATGTTGATGTGGGTCAAATTTCATGAGGTTTGACTGTCAATTGGCCACAATTGACTTTTTCCCCAATACAGCTGATTTCTAGGTCAACTGTCCAATTGACTGGGCAAAGATTTGAATCAAGGCTTGAAACTTGGTATGGGCAAACTTGTGAACCCAACATGAAGTATGAAAGTCACTTTGGGCATTGTAAGTTAAAACATTCATGTGCAAACTCAAACCCTAATTTGGGTCAACAGTGCAAGGAGGGGTCTTGAGCAGAGCAAACCCTAGTTTGATCTTGAACTCCAAGAGTCTTGTGATGAGAAAATGTTGGTGATTGAGAGGGAAAATTTTGGGGTACAACACCATTTTTCACGATAACTCCAGCTTCTTCAACCAGTTCATCTTCTTTCTCCAACCAAAATTAATGAAAAAATTTTCACAAAAACTTCAGCTTCTTCAACAAGTTCATATTATTTCTGTAGACAACTACAAGTTTGTCTTCTTTCTCCAACCAACAATAACTTCATCTTCTTTACTATCCATATCCATATTCTTCTTTCCCATGCAATCGCTCTGCTCACACAATTTGTATTGATAGTCGATTTGCTAAGGTATTTAGGTTTAATATTTATTTATTCCAATTTCTTATATGGTTGATGTTGTAATCTGTAATTGGATTAAGATTTCATTTCAATTTGGGAATTAGGTTTTATGATTGATGTCATTGGTTAAGTTTCTGAATATGTAGGTTAAGATTTTATTTCAACTTGGGAAATAGTTTTTATGGTTGATGTCATTGTCTTCATTTCAATTTGGGAATTATGTTTTATGTTTGGTTTCATTTCGATGATTTAATTTCAAGTTGGGATATAGGTTTTACGATTGGTGATAACTTATGTTGTCATATATATATTGGCCGATTTCAGATGAACAACAACGATGAATCTGTTGGGGTTGATTTGAACAATATTCACACTGATTCATCGGATGTTGAATATAGTTGTGATGAAGATGCTAATGTTGATGTAAAACAAAGTTCAAATGGTGAAGATGATTCTAATAATGACAATGATGAGGAATCTGTTGGAATAGAGTTGTCAAATAGCCAAGCAGTTGTAGGTGATCACATGGTGAATATAAATCCGATTACTCCAGATGAAATTCATGCTATGGAATTTGGAACTGTGAGTGAAGCTTATGAATTTTATTATAGGTATGAAAAATGTAAAGGTTTTTCCATTAAGAAAAGCAATGTTAGGCAAAGAGGGCCCGAAGGTAGTGAAATAGTAGTAATGAGACAATTTTTATGCAACAAACATGGATTAAGAGACAAGAAGCACTTAACTAGGGTAGATAGGAAAAGAGATCACCAAAGTCTAACCGGTACTGAATGTGCAGGTAGGCTTCGTGAGATTACAAATCCAGAAAGAGAAAATATATAGTCTCAACTTTTGAAAAGGCTCATAACCATGAATTAACCCCCAACAAAATTTGTGCATTTACACCCCATTTTTCGTCAAATTTATGAAAGAGATAGAGCTCAAATTGATGGTCTTCAATCACATGGAATCAAAACGTGTCATATAACGGGGTACATGGTTGCTAAAAAAGGTGGATATAATGATATTGGTTTTACAAAGAATATTTGTACAATTATTATGATAAAAAATTGTTTGATGTTATTAAAGATAGTGATGTTGCTCCTACTTTAAATTATCTCAAAGTGAAATCATTTATGGATCATATGTTATATGCAGAATATTCTATCAATAGTGATGGAAGATTGAAGTCGCTTTTTTGGGCAGACGGCAGTAGTAGATCATACTATTTATGTTTTGGTGATGTTCTTGCGTTTGACACAACTTACAAGAAGAACAAATACAATTACCCGTTGGTTATATTTTCTGGTTGCAACCACCACTCACAAACTGTTATATTTGGTGTTGCATTGGTGTCAGATGAAACGACAAAGACGTATAAGTGGTAGTTGAGGTGTTTCTTAGAGTGCATGGGAAATGAATATCCAAAAGCAATTATAACAGATATAGACGGGGCTATGAGGGAGTCTATAAAACAAATTTTTCCTTAAGCGACCCATCGGTTGTGTGCTTGGCATTTGAACAAGAATGCAGGTGAAAATGTAAATAAGGCAATATACTCAAATTTTACACCCGAGCAATTTGAAGAATTTTTGTGGGAGCTAGTTAATGAGAATGAACTTGAAGGAAATCCTTGGGTTTCCAAAACATACGAGAACAAGTCACTTTGGGCCACTGCATATCTACGCGATAAGTTTTTTGGTCGTATAAGAACTAAGTCTCAGTGTGAAGTTGTCAATGTAATAATCAAGTCCTATATAAGAAAGAAAAGGGTGCATTTTTGAATTTATGCATAATTTTGAACAAGCTTTGAGAGACTACGGAAATAATGAATAAAGAACAAATACTTTTTGAGTAGGTAGGACGCTCGTAGTTGCTTGCTCACAAACTCAAACCATCTCCACACTCACATTTTCGAAACATCTTCAAAACAAACATCTCTTTGAACTATTTTCATAACCAACACTCTGTATACATTCTTATAGAGATGAGAATCATTACAAAGTTTGCCGAAACAAAGGCGTTTTCAAAATATTTTCAAACTTACACCAATCACAAACACATTTCAAAAAAAGCATTTTCAAAGTGATCAAGCAACTAAGAGCCCGTAGATAACTACGGATGAAAAGGGTAGTAACACCTTCCCTTTTCATAACCTACCGCCCGAACTTAAGAAAATATCTCGAAAGGTCTTTCCTATCCCTTTCACCCTTTCCTTTATTGGATAAAATAAAAGTCGGCGGCGACTCTTACTATCCGCAACAATTGCGATAAAATGCAAAACACCCGAGTCAGTTCTCCAACCGTGTCACACTTGCCATTGATTGATAAGAAGCCCTATCTTTGGATGTGAAGGTACGGGTGTTGGTCGTCGCATAGTCATAGAAGGCAACTTATGAGACGCTTTAGCAATTTTCGTGGGGACTAAGATCATTTTACCAAAGGCAACATCAAAGGATCATCGAGGGACTATGATCTTTCTATCGAGGGTCTTTGCTAAAACGTCCCATATTCGAGGGACATAACTATTTTATTCGTAGGCAACAAACGGGATTACCCTAAAGGTGCGCGTGTATGAATTGTGTTTCGATTGCATGCATTTTTGTCTTTGAGATTATGGTTTTCTAATGGTTGATTTTATCTTACCATACACACTCTAATTACTAACAATTATATTAAAGCGGTAAATTGCGAAAATTAAAATCCTACGCTATTACATCACTTAGGGGAAGGGGGTACAATTTAAAAATGGGTATGAAGCATAGGCCTAATTAAATTATAACAATCATACTGAATATAATAAATAGCACTAAAAAATATAAAAGGAAAATAGTCTACAAAGAAAGTAAAACAAACTTTATGTATTGACATATAGCTGCATGCATCGACACATGCCATTTCCTGTTTCTGAAAAATCCAAATCAACTCAGTATGAGTCGATGCATAGTGGGATGTGTTGACTCATTCCACTTCCTGTTTCTGAAAAATCCAAAATCAACTCAGTATGAGTCAATGCATAATAGGATATGTCGACTCATTTCTTGTTTGTGTCGACACATTCGTGTTTTGTGTTGACTCATACACCTTTTGTCTTTCTGTTTTGGGTCTGGATAGCAGTATGTATCGACACTTAAGGCCTTGTGTCGACTCATACTCTATTCAGTCACTAAAATGAGTCGACTCGTGTGAGTATGTGTCGACTCATGCTGCAGTTTTTTGCCCTAAACATTGTTCTATTGTGTTGTGTGTACAGGTCAGTTCTTAACATAGTATTGACAGAAATGAAAAGCAAGTAAATGGTTAGCTTCAAAAGGAAATGATTACTATATTTGTCTTCAACAATGAATCGTTAATGATGTTTGAAATGAATAGCTCAAAGTTAAGAAGACTCGCTTTGAGACTTCAATTTGTTTTGAATTTCAACCTCTTTCAAGATGTTGTGGTAGCCTCAGTGAACCTCCAGGATACTGCTCTAGTCCTCTCTCTATATTAGAAGTTGCTAGGCCACTCTCAAACTCAGTCAAGTTATACAATACTGTCTTTTGTTTGTGTTTGAAAGATGGTGATAATGGTACTATAGAAATTGTTCTTGTGTTTGAACAATCCCTGTGTGATATGAAGTGTTTGGATGGCTGGTTTGTGGGAGAGCTTGCAAGGTGGAACAGTGGTTTGAGGGTTTTTCTGTTTGGTAGATGAAGATAGAACTGAAGATGAGCAGAAGTTACAAGAAATTTTTTGTTAGATTTTTGTTCAAAACTCTCTATTCTCTCTCTAAAAAAACCCACCTTTTGTGTGTTGTGAAAACAATTTATTTGTAGATGAAGTCGGCTGAAGTTTGGAAGGGAAACAAATGAATTTTTGAACTTTTTGGGTATTATTTTTCATAGCCTTTTTAGGAGAATCTCTTATATGCTAATTTGGTGAAAACATGAGACTGATATGAGGCAGATTTTCAGAGCAGCATTGCAGGTTTAGGAGCAGACTGTGACAGTATAACAGGGATGTTTTATGGATTTAGTCAAAGGGAAAAGTTCAAACAAAACAAGGCTTTAGGATTTGTAACTTAAAAAAATTCTAACTTAAAAGATGCAGTCTTGTAATAACTTGAATTATTTGTAACATCTTGAATTATTTTGAATTGTAGTGAAGAGAGATGTCGTGAGGTAATGAAATTAATCATGTATAGAAAATACTTAGAAAATTTTTCCAAGTCTTGCCAAGTTTGATTTTTGACCTTCTTGATTTTTGATGATCAAATTTTATATTTTAAATGCCTTGATGAAATGTGATTTTCAAAACTCAAATTTGACCAAAAAGTCAAAGTTTGACTTTTCAGTGTACAGTTGACTTTTTCATCAGTTGACCAAATTTCATCCATCAATCCACTGATCTCGGCAGGTGAATTGAAATATGCGACTAGGTCAAAATGATGCACTTAAATCCTTGAGATCACATTCTAAACCAATAAGTCATGTACTAGGTCAAAAGTCAAAGATTGGTCACTCTCAATCAAAACCCTAATTTGGAGTCTTAGTGCTTCGGAGATGATTTTGTCTGATCAATTCCTTGAGAACCCTTGAGCATTAGAGATCCTTTGTGTGAAATTTCTTGAGAAAAAAGGGAGGGCAAATTTTGGGGTACAGCAGAACCATTCAAGGAATAAGACTACTTCAACTGAATCCTGACCATGATGCAAATAACTTTAGGGAGTTCTTTACCAAGTATGCCATGATGTTTTTTAAACATCATATCTTCAGTCCTTCGATGACTCCTTTTTCCAATAGGTCTCATGGCCCTGAGTGGTTCACCAGATCCCTTTTCGACATTTGACTTGAAGATAAAGACATTGTTGACACCTAGAGAGCATTTTTTACTTCTTAGGCTGATTGTTTCAAGGATCATGCATGTGAAGAGCAACATTTTCTTGCTTGCCTATCAACCCAATTTTGTGTCTCGACAATTTGGGCTTTTTCAACTGATCCGTGAACCTGTCTTTGGAAGGAAACGCGAATTCTGCACAGCAGGAATGAAGTTCTTCTTCCAAGATTTGGAAAAACATATGGCTTATCATGTTAACTTTGCATAATTTAACCTCGTTCCTTTCCAACCATTCTTATATTGCTCGAAGGGTTTTGACATTTGGTGGAAAGATTTTCATTCAAAGAACATGTTCGACACCATTTTCCTCAGCCGACATCTGACAAAAGCTTTTGCATCTATGCAGGATCTGAGCCAGAAAGGTAAGCACACGCATATCAAGGAAATCTAGGTGTTCCAAAATCAAACTGGAATCCAAACCAAACTAAGGTGTTTGGGTCGAATATTTTTTTAGTTCGGGAAAAAACCAAACCAAACTAATGAAATCCGATGTTAATTGGTTCGGACATCAGATATCAAAAAATCTACCCGCGAGCCCTTCTACCCGAACCAACCATATTAATTCATATAATTTATATCATCATTATTATTGAAACTAGTATAAGATATTCAACTTCAACAAATATATATGAAACACCATTTGTGACAATCACAACCTATATGAAAAAACAACAAAAAAAATAAACAATTTATATTATTATGGAAAATTAGTTGATGTAAATTATATATATTTTTAAAATATTTTTGCACATTTGTTTCAATTGTATATGATCAATCCAACCCAAACCAACCCGTTATTTTTTGGTTTGGATCGGTTTGGGTTTTATCGAAAAAATATAAAAACCCGATCCAAACCAATTCGTATATTTTTTATCTGTTTGGATATCGAATTTTCTCAAAACCGAACCAAATCGGCACACAAACACCCCTAGATCCATCTAACCTTAGTCGAACCACTTTTAATGCAGCAAAAAATTTAAAAGAGAAATTTACCAAAAAGCTTCCTCATTTAAACATCATTGCTTGTGTCAAACCTGAAGACAAATATGACTTAGCCTTCAAACTTTAACCACCAAAATTGCCTAGCATTGATTTTAGCCTGGATTTTTATCCTCCTTACCCAAACTAGTTCGTTTGTGGGAATTATCTCAAATTTTTAAAACAAGAGTCTCAAAAACCTGCTAAATGAGTGATTTCGACTAAGCATAACTTGGATAGTTTCAAAGGCTTCCTTCATTATGACTTATCAGCTATCTCAATTCTTTCTCCGACAGGTGAAGGTGTGGAACCAAAGGATTTCCTTGGTCTTTTCGATTACCTTGTTATTTCTTTTATACCTGATACTAATCAATGTTATCATGTATATTGTTCTAGCCGTCGAAAAGAAAACCATAAAAAAAGAAAAAAAACCCATCTCAAAGATAGGTTCCACTGAAGCTTCCAAACAAACCAACACTTCAACCAAAAGAGCTTATCCATATACTAAAAAATAAAAGACAACAAAGGTATCATTAAATATTTTGTTTGCTTCTTGCACCATATCACTTTTCTAATAGCAATACTTTTTCAGGCTAGTCATTTACCTCCAAAATCTCCACACAAAATAAAATCCACCCATGATATTCCAGTGGTGGTTCAAGATGATGAAGACACTCCTCCCACTCCTTCACAAAATAATAAAATAAAGAAGAAGAATTCAAAAACTTCTGATGCATCCTCTTCGCAACCATCCAAGCAAAAACTTGAGCTCACTATACTTCCCCCAAAATACAAAGAGAAAAGCACGTCCCAACCATCTGAGGGTGTTATCTTGGAGAGGGTCGAAAATGACAACTCAAGCTCTGATGGACTAAAGGTATAGCTTTTATTTACCATTTTTCTTCTATCATCATTGTTCTTTTATTCGAACTAATGATTTCTTTTATAGCAACGCCTCACCACAACTTTCCCAAGAAGAACTGGAGGCTTTAAAGAAGAATACACCTCTGAGTACGTAAGGCTCATGATGGAAAATAGGGAACCGATTGTCCAAAAAAACTTTCCCCAGTCCATCTACAACTTCGAGTGGGAGTTCCAACGCTGAAACTAATGAGCAACTTCTCCAGAAAGTTAAAGAGAAAGTCTTCGAATCTGACTTGTTTGAAGTCTTGAAGGATAACGCTACTGCGAGCAGTGTACTAAAGAAGTTGATAAACCAAATTGATATAGTCACTTGTCCTTCTTAGACTTATGAAGTTATGATGGATGTGACTACTCTAATAAACACAATCAACACAGATTTTATTAGGGAACATGATGTGGCTTCGAAGCTCCAAGAAAAGAAAACTCTTCAAAAGACTGAGTGGTCGAAAGCTCTTGATTCAACCAGCAAGGTTGAAAAACTTGGAAGAGATTTTAAGAATTACAAATAAGAGTTTGATACCAATGTTCACTCTATCTCCTTCTAGAAAGAATAGATCAAAGAGTTTCAAGATAAGATTTCTCAGACAGAGACACGCCAGAAAGTTATCAAAAAGATTTATCATTCTAAAATGGAGCATGAGATTTCTCAAAGTGTGCAACATGTGGATGCAGCCAAAAAACTAGAAGATGAAATAGCTACTTTTCATGTTACTAAATCTTCTATTGATTGTAGGCTAAAGCTAGCGAAGACCAAGTATGACAGGATGAAAACCAACTTGCCCTTTTGTATCAGCTGATATTTGGTGTATTTATATTTTGCTTTTTATGTACTTTTAGAATTGTGTAATTTCGAGACAAAGCCATTTTGGCATTTTATGATGACACCATGTTGGATTTTAATTCATTACTTTTACTATTCTATCGTAATCTTTACCTCTTGAAGGATAGGTTTATACTTTTTTAAGTACTTGCCATTTATCTTCAAGATTCTTCGATCCTCTGTGAATCCTTCTATTTCATAGGCGTTATTTGTGAATGTTTGGATGATTAGAAAAGGTCCTTTCAAATGTGGATACCATTTCTCTAACAACTTATTCTTTCGATCCATTGGTAATATAACCTTCCACACCAAATCATCATTTGAAAACACCTTACCTCTAACTCTTTTATTGTATGCTCTAGCTATTCTTTCTTTTTGTCTTCTCAAGACCTCTAAAGCATGTAGCCTCTCTTCGTCCAAATCAACTAATTCATTCATCATCATTTCCCAGTAATAGTCAGAGGGGATTTCGTTCTGCCTCTGGATTCTTATTGATTGTAACTATATTTCCACTGGCAGAACTGCATCGTGCCCAAAAGTCAAATGAAATGGAGTTGTGTTCATCGCTTCTTTTGGAGATGTTCGACAAGCCCACAAACTTGATCCAAGGTCTTATGTCAATTTTTTGGCTTTCTTCCTACATGTCTTTTTATCAAACCAATAATTACCTTATTTGCGGCTTCAACTTGTCCATTCTCCTGGGCATAATAAGGTGTAAAAGTCAATAATTTGAATCCCATTTCTTTAGAGAATTCCTACATCTTTCGACCAGTGAAGACTGGTCCTTGATCAGTTGTAATTGTTTCGGAGATTCCAAATCTGTAGATTATGTGCCTTTGAATGAATTCGATAATACTCTCCTGATCCACATTTACCAAACATATTGCTTTACTCCATTTTGTAAAATAATCAATCCTTACCAGGACGTATTTTTGTCCTTTGGATGAAGCCGTTAGAATCTATCCAACCAAATATAATGCCCAATCTCTGAAGGGCCATGGTTTAATGATTGAATGCAATTAAACTTGTAGGAGCATGTTGAATACCTACATTAACTTGACACTCTTGGCATCCCTTGGCGAATTCTATGCAATATTTCAGCATGGTGGGCTAATACATGCCATACCGAATCAAGAGCCACTTCATATTATGACCTACTTGATGTGCTTCACATGCCCCACCTTGTACATTTTACAGTGCTAAGTATGCTTCACTTTCTCCTAAACATTTGAGTAAGACCCCTTCTGGTGGAGCATGAGATTGCTCAAAGTGTGCAACACGTGGATGCAGCCAAAAAACTAGAGGATGAAATAGTTACACTTCATGTTACTAAATATTATATTTACTATAGGCTAAGGCTAGAAAAGACCAAGTATGACATGATGAAATCTGTAAGTGTTTAGTTATTGGCATGTATTTTTGGTAAAACCAGGTGTGTGAATGTCATGACTAATGTCATAACATTCTGGGTTATTAGGTACTTTATGCAGAAAAAGAATGGCATACAGTAGCTGCTATTTATGAGTGTGTATCTGAGCATTTTGCAATGATCACATTTATTACTTTCTACCAAAATCAGTAAACAGGATTTATGTTGTCATAACAAATGTTAAGACATCCTGTACTGACCTAACAATTATGCAGTTTGGTGTATTCTGAGATTTTTCAGGAATTTGGTTCAAACATTCTAGAACAGAATCTCACGTGGACTTTAGGTTAACCTAGCTCAACCCTAATCTGGTTGATAAAGTCTTGTGACTAAGTCTTGAGGTTAACCCTAATTAACCCTAGCTTTTCGTGGAAGCCCTAACTGAAGAAACAACTGCATATATATTCAACAGGAAAGCTGATTGGAGATCAACTCTTTGACAGAAGATCAATTAGGAGCTGTATAGATTTAACTGTTGTAATCCAAGCAAGTATCATTGTGATACGTGACTTGGAGTAGGTTTTGATTGTAAGGGTTGTGTATCACTCAAAGCTTTGAAGCAAGAGTGTTTGTGTCTCTTGACTAAAGCTTTGAAGCAAGGTCAAGTTAGGTTTATGAATCACTCAAAGCTTTGAAGCACGAGTGTTTGTGTTACTTGATTAAAAGCTGTGAAGCATAATCAAGTGTATGTTCTGAAGAGTGTCTTCATTATTTCATTAGTCAATTGTTTAAGTATCACTGCTGTGATTGGGGGGGGGGGGGAGTGAGTAGGAACTCAGGTTTAAGTTGAACTTAGATTGAAGTTGCATTGGGTAGGTCTTAAGTGAAGGAGATAAACTGGTTGGTTTATTCCTGAATTAACATCTCTTATAGTGGATTTCCTCCCTGGCTTGGTAGCCCCAAGAGTAGGTGTTGTTTCACACTGAACTGGATAAACAATTGACTGTGTTCTTTACTGTTTTTGTATTTACTGTCTTATAGAAAGTCAGATACGGTGTCATAACATTCACTGTGACATTGAGTATCTGCTGCCAGAATTTCAATTGGCATCAGAGCAGGCACCCTGCCTGTCTTACTGGGTGAGATCTAGGGATATCACTTTCTGGAACTATGGACAAAGAAGGAGTTTTTGGAAGCAGACCACCCATTCTGGATGGATCAAATTATGACTACTGGAAACCTCGTATGATTGCCTTCTTAAAATCACTGGACAAAAAGGCTTGGAGAGCTGCTGACAAAGGATGGAACCATCCCACCATAACTGAGAAAGATGGGACAATCAGTCTGAAGCCTGAGGAAGAATGGAGCAAAGAAGAAGATGAGTTAGCCCTGGGTAATTCCAAAGCTTTAAATGCCTTGTTCAATGGAATTGATAGAAACATATTCAGACTAGTACATCAATGTGAACTGGCCAAGGAAGTTTGGGACACTCTCAAAACTACCCATGAGGGCACATCCAAAGTAAAAATGTCAAGGCTTCAGATGCTGACTACCAAGTTTGAGAACCTAAAGATGATGGAAGATGAAACCATTCATGAGTTTCACATGAACATCTTAGAGATTGCCAACACCTCAGGAGCATTGGGAGAAAAGATGTCAGAAGAAAAACTGGTGAGAAAGATTCTCAGATCCTTGCCTAAAAGATTTGCAATGAAGGTAACTGCTATAGAGGAAGCCCAGGATATCAGCAAGTTGAAGGTGGATGAACTCGTTGGGTCTCTTCAGACTTTTGAGATGGGGATCAGTGAAAATGTTGACAAGAAGAACAAGAGCATAGCACTTGTATCCAACACTGAAGATGAAAACAAGGAGGATGAAGAAGAAAATATTTCAGAAGCTATAGCCATGCTTGGAAGACAATTCAACAAACTCATTAAGAGAATAGATCCAAAGTCAAGGTCAAATGTTAAGAACATTCCCTCTGACATTAACAGATCTTATGACTCCAGCAGAAGACCAAGGTCTGAAGAGAAGGAAAATCAAAGCAGAGGAATTCAATGCCATGGATGTGAAGGATATGGGCACATTCGAGCTGAATGTCCTACCTTTCTTAAGAAACAAAAGAAAGGAATGTCTGTTACCTGGTCTGACTGTGATTCAGAAAGTAATTCTGAAGAAGAATCTGCCAAACTAGTTACTGCACTAACTGGTGTTTGTACCTCTGAAAGTGACACTGGTGATGAGGAAGTGACATTTGAAGAAATGGCTGATACCTACAAGAAATTATGTATCAGAAGTGCTGAAGTCTGTCTGCAAAATGAGAGACAAACAAAACTCATAATAAAGTTGGAGGCTGAAAAAAGGGCAGACATTGAAACTACAAGTCATCTAGAAGGGGAAGTTCAAATGCTGAACTCAAAACTGAACCAGATGACCAAATCTGTCAAGATGCTGACAAATGGAACTGATAAATTGGAAGAAATCCTTCAGGTTGGACAAAATGTGGGAAACAAGTCTGGTCTAGGATTTGTGGCAGCAAAGAAATCTGGTGCAGACAAGAAGATCAGGCCTGATAAACAAATGTCAAAGCAGATGTCACAACACAGCACTCAACATCGGGAATAGAGAAATATGAAGAAAAAATACCAAAGATGGAGATGTCATCATTGTGGGAGGTTTGGTCACATAAAGCCATTCTGCTTCAGATTGTATGGATACCCTAATCAGAACCCATGTGTCAAACCTAAGCCTAACAAGGTACCACATACTCCACAGTGGAAGAAAAAGGCTACTGCCCTGATAGCCCACACTTCCCTTAGAGTCTCTGCAAAGGAAGACTGGTACTTTGACAGTGGGTGTTCTAAGCACATGACTGGAATCAAGAACCTTCTCAATAATGTTAAACCTCACACCACTAGTTATGTGACCTTTGGAGATGGTGCTAGAGGAGAAATCAAAGGAGTTGGTAACTTGGACTGCCCTGGAGTTCCAA